ATTCACCATAATACAAAGCAAAAGGAACTCGCATATGCTATGGGTGGAGCATAAAACTGGTACAGTTAACTCCTGAAGAAATTTGGCATTGCTAGTAAAGTTCAATTCATGGGTGATGAATAGCCCAGCACTTTCAATTCAGGTAAACGTAATAAAAAAAAAAGTAAATATAGTCTAACAGTCCAAATGCTAGAGCATATAAATATGCTACAGTTTATCCAATAAAATACTATCCATCCGTACAAACAACTGAACTACCCCGTTAGCAAAACAACATGGAGGAATCTCCTAAACATAATTCTGAGTGGTAGGAAGCAAGTTGCTCTGATGTACGTAGAAGCCAATTTTATAATTCCAAAGCACACAAATTTATCCTCCATGTTGGCTCCTTCTCAGGCCCCACCTATGTGCAGGATGGCTCCAGCAGCGCTAGCCTCTCTAACTCCTCTCTTGTTTATAGTTAACAGGAGCAGGAAAAGGTCTGTTCCCTTCTTAATAAAATGCCATAAATTAAGTCTCATTGGCCCTGATTGGTCTGGCTTGGGCCATGTGCCTATCCATGAACTAATCACAGTAATTAGTGGGATGAAACGTGATGAATGGCTAGCCTAATTAATGTCATTCAGAGCACGTGGGCTGGGAGTAGGGCAAGGGGGAGGAAAATGCTGGTATAGATGCCAGGAGGAGGGCAAGTGGATGTCAGACTTCTGAAACAACAGATGATATTATTCTGCCCGCTTAGTACAGGCAAACTTGTGTTACACAAGCTGTTGTTACTCGCTTATGGTCTATGAGTGGCATGAAACAGTGCAAAGAAGGGCAGGTAGAAGCCAGAAAAGGATTTCTATGTTGCAGTAGACCTGGAGCCTCAAGTTAGCAGCAGATCTCCCAAATTGGAGTGGACCAGTGTGGCAGATGGGGCCGGCAGCCAAACTCCAGCTCACATCAAGATTCTGTGGGATGTATATGATCAAATTTTATGTCCCTTCAAAAATGCACACCTTGTTTCTATCTACTCAACCATCCATGTTGCCGGTTTCTAGAAACTATGAGAGCTTTTTGGTATCATTACTATTATACCGTGGTCTGAAGTTCTGTAATTTCTGGTAGCCCTTTCTATAGATGTCCACCCTTCCATGCATTTTACTTAAGAAATAAAGGTGTATTTTATGCCATGAATAAATTTACGGTGCCCCTATATATGAAATAGTTGATGTTGATGGGGAAGTGTTTATGCTTTGGGTCTTTGCGTTGTCGTTACCCTGAGGAGAACTGCTACTGTCAGACAGGACTTTAAATCATGGCTTGTTAAAGCTGCCGCTAACTCTGACCATTAAGAGCTGCTTTTACCTAGTCGTGCAGAATAAAGGCCTTTTATCTTATCTCACATATAAAAGGCAAAGTCACTTTTGTGGGTAGTTGTTAACCTTCATTCTAAAATAACTGGAATTGATTCCATAGTTAGTGTCAGGGACACACAGCTCTGCGTCTCCTTATTTTGTTGTCTAAAATTAGAGGTAAGTTAATTTTAGACACTGTAGCCAAAAGGACGTGGTATTTGTTGGACTTGAGTCTCCTTTTTACAAAACCAACCCTGACATTTTATTTATTTTTATACTCAAACTCGCATCTAGGTACGTTTTGCCTATGTAACTTATTTTAAACATCACCTTGCTTGTAGTCCAGACTCTAATTCTAGCCTTGTTCTTTGGCCAAAGGCAATAAAATGTGACCTGTTTCATCATGATTCAGTGAAGCATAATCAGCATTTTCTTTACACAAATATAACATCACTTGCTATTTATAACAGTTCTTCAGCCTTCGGAAATGTAATGAGGTTTTGTTTTATATTTACGTAAAATTTCTATTTGTATTTAATGCCCTGACTGTAATATGTGTTAGCGGATTTTTCACTTAAGGCCAGATACTAAAATACTCTTAATGTGTTTTTAAATCCAATCTTGAATTTATAGAGCAGCCTCTGAGATTCTTGATATTCACCTATAAATAAACATTGCTGATTGTAAAAGCCCTTTGGCTGTTCTCATATTCCTATAATAACCAAAAATATAAATTCGTTGGTTCACCTCATACTGAATTTCCTGACTAGATGGTGCTTTTTACTTTTTTAGGAAAGTACATTTGTACTTTTCATCATTTCTCCCGAGAAAAGCATTATCCTAAAGGTTTCTTTAAATGTCTTCTGTATCGATTCTTTAAGCATAATTTTTCTGAATATTATCTATTTTCAGACTACCTTCATTGTCATTTGTTCAACTGGTCATGGCTGCCACTGGGAAGAAACCATCGTGTTTCAAATCATCTTGTGTTACCTTTACAATTTCTGATAGGTTTTTTCAAAAGATACTTCTCTTAAGTTTTCCAGGCATTCAATTCATCGCCTGCTGATGATGATGGTAATTTGGTCTGTTCACTTTCTTTCACGATCGCATAGTAAGCAAGTTTTATTTTCTCCCACACGTTGAGTAAAAATATTGCCTGTTGATTTTCAATCTTTTTAAAAATCATGATAACTTACCCTTCTAGGTGACTAAGCAATTATCATATATAGGTGTTGAATTAATCACATGCTATTTCGACATCGTTGGAGATATTTATTGATCCTTTGTGAGTTATTGACGGGGTGTAATCTATTTATATAACATTTGTAGCATAAACCCTATTTATATGGATGTGTCATATACTAGAAATTTATTTTTCTGAGCACTTTATTATTCTTACCTCTTCTCCAAGTCAAATCAGCTTCTTGCCTTTCTCTCTTCGTGCCTTATCTGGTGTGGTTATCAGGCTCGTATTGCACCGTCAAACAAATTGGGGAGCCTCATCTGTCTCTATCCTGAAGTCTTTTTATAGAGCTCGAGAATAATCTTTGAAGTAAACCATATGTATTAGTTTTTCAGCTTTTGTATTTTCAGTTCAGTTTTGGTAATCAAATATCACCTTAGAAAACTGTTTCCATTGAGATACTCAGATTTATTTCAAGGATATTTTTATATAATACTCTTGATTTTTTTTAAATAGAGTCTCTTGCTCTATCATCTAGGCTGAAGTGTAGCATAATCATATTTCACTGTGGCCTCAAACTTCTGGGCCCAAAAGATTCTCCCACCTCAATCTCCCTGGTATCTAGGGCAACATGCACACACCACCATGCATAGCTATTTTCTTCTTACTTTCTGTAGACATGGGGTCTTTCTCTGTTGCCCAAGCGGGTCTCAAACTCCTTGCCTCAAGTTATCCTCCTGCCTCTGCCTCCAAAAGTGCTAGGATTATAGATGGGAGCCATTGAACTTGCCTTGATTTTTCTGTCTTTTCCATTACTATGATCTATTTTTCTAATAATTCTAGTTTCATGTTGGATTTTAAGACTAGATTCGCCAGAAATCTGTCATAAGAAGTATTTCATTCTGCAGTGAACCCTCTATTGCTTTTTAAATATCTAAACCACATATTCCTGCTTTTATTTGTATTTCTACTTTTCCTGTATCATATTTATTACTGTTTTCAAACTTCACTGAGTTTAAATATTTAGTTCATTTCTTTATTTCTATCCAATTTAAAAAAATAAAAACAATTACTGGTTTCACAAATGAAACTGCGTCATTTCTACTCCCCAAATACAGAATAAAATCCACTCATTTTTGCTACTTACCCTTACCCATTTCCCCATTTTTTGATAACAGGAACTAAAATTTCAGACTTAAATGGAACTAGTTACTATACTAAAGTTTTTTTGTAAGTTTACACTCCATTTGGCCCATTTTTAGAATAATTAGCATATGCTGGTCCCGCCTTCAATGCTTAGTACCAGTGCTAATGTGTAACTGTTTTTTCACTCTTCCGTTTTTATTATAACTCGTTTCTCGGTTAACTGGAATATTTTTGAGTAACTTTTTTCATAAAGTTACTCAGCTGATCATTTCTAGGCACATTTGTTTTTTAGAACCCCGAAGACACTGAGATTTCTATGGATCTTTCTTTTTAAAATTACTGGCCAGAAAAACTGTAGCTCCCCATTTTACCAGATGTAAGCCTCACCCCCATGAGCTCTACCCCCCACTACCTTGCAAAGATGGAAAGTGAGAGTAATTACACACTGGTACACACCGGATGGGCCTAGAGAGGAACTCAGGTAGGGCGGCTATGGCCTGAGGAAGTTGGTTCAGAGCTAGGGAAGCTGTGGTCAGACTGGTTGAAATTGTGAACTCCCCTGATTCACTTCTCTTCTCTGCTCAGGGAAATTCTTCCTTGCTTCTGTCAAGTCATTGAACTCCTCTGCTGTCAGAGCTATGGTAAGTTCAAGTTTCCTTTTGAAATTTTTGAGTGTTTCAAGGGAAAATCAAGGATGAGTGGACATTAGTAACTTTCTTTTTTCCTTTTCTTTTTCTTTCTTTCCCTTGCCTTCCCTTCCCTTCCTTCCCTTCTTTCTCTCCTTCTCTCTCTCAAGAGTCTCACTCTGTCAGCTGAGGTAGAACCCATGGCATCATAGCTCACAGCAACCTCAAACTCCTGAGTTCAAGCAATCCTCTTGCCTCTACCTCCTTGAGGAGCTGGGACTACAGGTGCCCACCACCAAGCCCAGCTAGTTTTTCTAGTTTTAGTAGAGACAGGATCTCATTCTTGGTATGGCTAGTCCGGAACACCTGAGCTCAGGTGATCCTCCTGCCTCAGCCTCCCAGAGTGCCAGGATTATAGGCATGAGCCACTATGCCTGGCCAGTAGCAGTAACTTTCTAACACCACATCCTGGGAGTCTTTTTGTTTTTCAATTAAATTTTTATGATTATTGCTATGGGCTTATTAGAGTCCCATAGCATGGGTGTAGCCTTTTCTTGGGACATTTTTGGCCTTTTTGTATCCAGTCTTCCTTTTAAGCCACTTAAAATTAGCCCTGATATCTTCACATCCATGTTTCATTAAAATAATTCTGAAAAAGCCATATAATAATAAAAAACAATTTTTTGTGTGTTTCTACTACAGGTGAAACTGACATTCAGAGTCTGTGGGTGAAGACATTGGAAAGGCTTCAGCTATAAAAGTGAGTGGTTTTCATTTTTTTTGCCACTTGAGTATGAAACATACACTAAAAGATTGATATATTCATAATTTAGGTTCATTAGACATTTTTGCACAAGTATCCTTCCTAGGCTAAAGTTTTCTATTTTCTGGTGTACTAGTCCCCCATTATCTGCAGAGGGTACAACCCGAGCCCTCCAGTGAATTCCTGAAACTGTGGAGAGTATGGAACCCTGCCTATACTGTTTTTCCATACATACGTACCTATGATAATGTTTAATTTTTAAATTAGACAAGTAAGAGATTAACAACAACTAATAATAAGATAGAACAATTATAACAATATACTGCAATAGAAGTTGTATGAATGATCTCGCTTTCAAAATACATGTACTGTCATATTTTTGGACCATAGTTGACCTCAGCTAATTGAAACCATGAAAGTGAAATCACAGATAAGGAAGTCTGTGTGGTTTTTGTAAAAATAGAAACAAGAAGAGACCTATTTTCAGAGAAATAATGTTAGCGAAGGATGAAAAAGGAAAGAAAATGCGTGCTGCTAAGTAGCATATATAAAGAATAAAAATGAAGGAGAAAAGAGTGCATTAAGACATGACCCATTTTGCTGTTATTTCTTCCCACTGGCTTTTTAGTGCTTCTTTTAGATAATATTTTAAATGTTTTTCATTGGTCAGAAACATTCTGTTTGTTTTTTTCAACTTCTTTTTCTTTATGATTTAAAATTTTATGGTAGTGCTTAAAAACCACAATGAACAATAAAAAAGGCAAGGAAGAAGGGCACGTGAGTTTGTGTTAGATCCAGGCAATTGTTCTACTCTGTCTTCCCTAAGTACATTATTATACCCTGACCACGTTAAAACCTAACATGGTGAACTAGGGTTGGTCAATTACTCATTGAATGCTTACTGGAGTGGTAGGAATACATGAAGAAATGCAATCGGGTAAGCTTAGTGGTATCATTTTTTTAACTGATAAAAGTAGTTTATACTTTCAATTTTATGCCAGGTCATTTTTTTTTAACCAAACAGTAAAATGAAACAAAAGCTTAAGTGCAACAATAGAGTCTTGCCTTTAACTAGCAAACTATAATGCTTGATAGGAAGCGTAAACATTTGATGAACTGAATTACTCTCAGAGTGCTCATAGTTATTACAGAGACAAATAGTATTTTAATGGAATAAAGATTACTTTGCTTGGGTCAGAGTTCATCAGTGTTTTGTTAATTAGTAAAACAATAACTTTCTTACTACAGATCATCATTACTGGCAATAAAGTTCAGAAGTTCTTTTGTCTAACTTATGACTAGACTGTCTGATGGCTTAAAAATTAAGAGTCTATGATTCAGAGCTGACTTACCATCCATCAGTCACGATGCTCAGGGCCCATGATACTTTAAGTCGTTCACAAAATTGTTTTAACTTTAATTTCTTTTAAAGGCAGCAGAAAAAATAATGACAAACATATGATATTGAACCTAGCCTGGTTGGTATTTGTGTTTATGCCAGTGTAGTTTTATAATATAATATTTATCATTTTTTATGGAGGAGGGTCCCCCCAAAAGCCAAATTGCCCAAGGCTCACAAAAGATATCAGTGCCCTCAGCAGTGTTCCAGACAGGCACCATGCACACGTGAGTGAGATCTGATCATTTGAATGCTTGTGGTTTTTTTTTAAAAGGAGAGTATGCATTCTCTTTTAAAGAAATGCATTTTGTAGATATGTCTCAAAATCAGAGAAACATGGTTACATCTGCACACTTAAGTTAGTTAGTTATTCACTCTGTTTTCCTAAAATCAAACTAATATTTTCCCCCATGGACACTCAATGATACTCTCTCTGCTTTGTGAGATGGCACAGAAAATAAGGGAGAAAGAAGCAAGCCTGACTCGCGATTCTCTGGTCTCATTGTGTCCAAGTGTTTTGCCTAACGGGTACATGCTCCATGAGGACAGTGGTCAAGTCCACCTCCTTGCTGCTGTGGGAGCCTAGAGTTTTGGTTCTTCTGTAGTTACTGATCTGTACTACTGAGCATACGGCATTTCCAATTACTCCAACTTATCTGGTTTGGTTTGTTTCCAAAACTATGATGCGGTTTTAGAGAAAATATTTCTGTGAGTCTTCAGCTTCCCTGACTGTATCAATTGTGCCCCGAGTTATCTTCTGAAAGTCACGTGTTGATTTCAAATAAGTGTGTTGCACGTCTGAGGAACTTTATTTTCAAAATGTGTGTCCACTCAGATTGAAACTCCCTGAGGACCAGGATCTGTGTCTGTTTTGTTTGCTGCTATATATTTAGAAAAAGGCGTATAAGGGAAACTCAGATGTTGTTGAAAGAATGAACTAATTTCCTCCTTTAGCAAAGTCATGCTGTGTGTGCCCCTGAAAGGCTCTGAGACTGCCGTGGGTGTCTGAGTGGACAGCTGAACCATGTCATCAAGTGGCAAGTGTCCCGGCATCTGTGTGACAGTAGGTAACACACGGCACATCAGGGCAGAGCAGCAGCCTACCAGCTGGTTACCCACAAACTCCTCGTAAGAGCTCACCTCTGCAGGGTAGCAGCCAGTTAGGCTCTGAGATCACAAAGCCAGTGGATACCACTTAATCAAGGTAAGCAGGAAGGCAAGAAAAATCTGAGAGAAATGGCCCCCCAGCCACTGAGGATGGAAGATTAGGGATGTCAACCGAGGCAATCAGCTGACCTTATTCAGCACTGCTGGGTTAGGTGGTCTGAATTGACATAAACTTTACAAAAATCAGAGAGGTGGAGGCCTATTTGGTTTGTTGAGGTTAAGGGGATCCAGATAGACATTACTTTTCTGTTAATTTGGCATCTCTGTGTATGTGTGTCTGTGTCTGTGTATTCAGCCTCAAGACCATATTTTTTAGGTACACCAAAAAAGTATAGATTTCTATTCTCAGTAAAATTGTCCTATGTTTTAGTCCTCCGTGGCATCTTGACTAGGGTGTCACCTGCCTCGGTTATTTGAAGGAAGTGGTGGCAGCAGAGCTGCTGCCCACAGCACTCAGCACAGGGTCGCCAGGGGGACAGGAAGAGGCTGACGAATGTCCCCAGGCCGTGTCAGGCACTAGGCACTGAGGGGGTCCTGATCTTGGCTGTTCTTGGCAGCATTTTCAGAGCCTTTACACTCTTGAGTGGGGGACAGGAGAGTGGCGTGCTTTATTATAAAGATGTCAAAGATTAGAAATGGCACACGTTCTGCCCTGGACTTAGCGTGGCTCAGCATACCTGTGCTCGATGACTCAGTGTCTTGTCACCCTCCTGAGCAGGGCTGAGCTTCTCTGGAGGGTGAGTGTCGCCTTCTAGGTTCCCCGGTGCCTGTCGCGCACTGTTACTGCTCTCTCGGGCAGTTGTGGGAGGACCACACACCCGGCCCATCCCAGGTCAGCAGCTGCGCATGTGCGTTCTCAGTAATGTATCGTCTTGACACTGAAATTCTGTGGGATTAGAATATTGTGGCTTGTTACGCCTGAGACTTACAAACAAGATGGGAAAGGGAAGGAGTCAGAGTCATACGTCCCTTCAGGTGTCTCATAAATGACCTTGCGTCTGCGTCCCAGGACCCCATAAGTGTCTTGCTCAGGGCTGATGGATTTATCACAAGGCAGCTAATAGAATTATTAGAGGCTGCGGCATAAATGATTCACATTGTGAATAAGTAACCTGCTGTATTGAGCTAGACATGGCTAATAATACAACCATCCAGCAGAGTTCTTGGCAGAATGCCAGAGGATGGGGGCTGAAATGCAGCGTGAGATCTCTAAAGCGCCACCAAAGTGCTGTCCTTTGGTTTCTTCTATTGCAAAATCCCCTGATCATCTCTTGGTATGGTGGCATTATGAAAATGATTTTTTAAAATATGCAGTTAGGCCTGGTGTGGCAGCTCATGCCTGAAATCTTAGCACTCTGGGAGGCCAAGGCAGGAGGATCCCTTGAGCTCAGGTGTTTGAGATCAGCCTGAGCAAAAGTGAGAACTTATCTCTACTAAAATCAGAAAGAGTTAGTCACGTGTCCAGTTGGGTGCCTGTTGTCCCAGAGGCTTGAGAGTCTGAGACAGGAGGATCGCTTGAACCCAGGAGTTTGAGGTTGCTGTGAGTTACCATGACACCACAGCACTCTACTCAGGGTGACAGAAAGAGACTATCTCAAAAAAATAAATGAATAAAAATAAAAAACTCTAAAGATTAAAAGGGTTGTACCAATGAAATATAATGGCTGTAAAAATATGGCATAGAATTATGGCACCCCCGAAGATGTGCAGATTTGACACTTATCTAAGCATTGGGCATCTCTTTTCCATTAAAAAAAAAAAAAAACTCTTAGAAATTCAAGTGCCTTAAGCTGATGTAGACACCAGACACCCTTCTGTAGGGGGAGCTTCCTCCTTGTAGACTCTTTAATTATAGCTCATAAAGGGTGTGAGGGGATTCTTAACAATTCATAAGGGGAAAAGCATGTAACTTAGAAGAAAGACATGCTTTTCTCATGAAAGGATTACCTTGGGAATGAGGAGCGGACTCCTGTTGCTGATATTGGCACTGCACTGAGAATTAGGAGACTCTCAGGACAGTATGTCCTCAGTTTTGTGGAATTATGGCAACAAGTTTCTGTCCAAAACAAAGAAGAGGAAGGGGCTTCATGGCCAAGTAAGTTTGGGATTTGATCAAGAGTAATCAGTTCCTTTTTCTTCAGATCTTTCCTGTGCTGCTCTGAGCTGCACAGGTTCGGCCAGGCCGTGTCACAGGCAGGGTTTCCCAAACTTAATTAAGCAGGGAATGGCTCCCCTCGTTCCACCACAGCCCACTGCCTTCTAGTTTTTTAACCTATTACTGTGTTGGTCTTTGGAAAATAATTTGGTAAATGCAGAGTTCAGGTCAAGTATGGGAAAGAGAAGTGGCCAGCACAGACACGGGAATGTGTTAGAGGAAGAGATACAGGTGAAATGAAGTGATAGCTGTGCTCTCCCCACCCCCAGCCCACTG